AGGTGCTTTCAGGACCCGATCGCACCCCTCAGCACCACGTAGTGACCTATAGACCCTAGCACCCACCCCATTAACTAAACACAAACTTTAAACAAGGTACCTGGTGAGTACTTGTACTATGGTACTTTCTGGTTGCCCTGTGTCTCACTGCTTCTATCATTAGAATTCAACTAAGACACAAAAAGCAAAGACAACCAAGAAAGAAACTTTTTAAATATAGGGAACAATATGTCATTTTTTTTATCCAAGTGAAACTGTTTCCATAGTAAAACTGTTTCTGGTAGCCACTAGCCGCCTGGTTCAGTTTTCGGTTCGATAGCAGAGAACTCTGGTGGTAATTTCCGAAACTTTGTGAAGAAGAAAAGTAAACGAAAAACAAAACACTTGTCTATGGGTGGGCCCCTGTCCTAGCACCCAAGCCCAAGCACTAGAGGCGTGTTTTCGTTCAAAATGTTGAATGTAGTAGGAGAAAACTTGGAAGTTTATGGAGTACTATGTTTCTTAGTCATGTGTTACCCATCATGCTTGATATAATAGATAATTATTTTTACGTTATGGTGCGTCTTACTTACATCAATGGGTATATGCACAGTACATGTGGTCCTCTTTTACTGTTGAAACTCTGTTTGTCCAGTTAGATATTGTTGTATTTTCTAAATGAATTCTATGGAGACTAATATTATCTAGTGTGTTTTTTAATACTACCAAAGAAATCAGTTACCAAAGTCAGGCTGTTGCTGCCAGTCCCAGATCCATGAAGTACTAGTACTATATTACTTTCTTTATTTGCACTTATTTGTGAAAGATATTATAGTCAGCACACATATTGTCTTGTTCTGTTATTTGGCTGGATGGTACATGGAATGAGATAACTTCGGTTCTTAACAGCAAAGGTTTTGAGACTCAATTTCATTCAAATACATAAAGAAACACACAATATCAAATCAAGTACTGTTATCAAATGTATGCTGCACATTTTGTCTTACTTGTCAAAATCAATGTACCAATGAGTGTCATCAACATTTGCCGTTCTTATTTCCTTTGGAAATTTTATCAAGTTCAATGTCGGTCATTAAAGCTCTTATTTAACTGGACAAATCATATTTCTACTGAATGAACCGTTGCTGTCCTTCATGTCCAAATGCCTGAACTCGTAACAATATAGTTGTCAATCAGTCCTGATCTTTAGAATTAGTAATGACCTTTTTAAATAAACCTTCTTAATCTGTGAAGTAAATATTAGATGCTACTAAACTAAAACAAATTTTGAATCAATTTTGTTTTTTTCAAATGTCAATGTTTTGGAAAGAAAGAAACCACCACAGAACCAGTCAAGCTGCAAGTGCATGTTCCTGTCTAGTACTGTTTATCTTGTTCTAAACAAATATTTTTGATGAGCAGTTGGTGTCTCAGAGGTCATTTCAACTACAATATTGAGTCTCCATGGTATTTGAAATAGATTATTTAATTAAATGTGTGCAGTGGCACTGCCTACGTCATCACCCAATTACTTGTGATTGTCATAATAGGTAACCCCTCTCTGTACTATTTTTCAGATTTGAGGGTCCTTATGAACATTTAACTCATTGTTTTGGCTGAAAATATTATTTATTTCTTATAGATTGTACACTTCAGTAATTGTGTACATGCCACGCACAATTATAAGCTACAGTATTATTGTTTGACAGATTGGGCAGTTGTTTGTATTGATATGTGCCATGTACAAAATATGGAATCTACTCGAACTTAAACTTTCTTGTGTGAATAAGGCACGTGAAAGAGCCAACCAGTAGTTGTGCTTTCTAATTCAAACTACTAGTCTCATTTTTAAACATTAAGTAAGCACAGCTGTTGAATCCTGTTATGCATTAGTATGGTCATATGTCCACTTCCTATTTATATGTCATGTTCTAAAGTTCTAATAAAGATGAGTATTAGACATACAGTATGTGGCTTGTTGTATGTAGCAGTTTGTTACTGTGATGTATTTTTTGGGGGAAGAGACGAATTTCGAGTAATTATTCCATGTCATTGTCATTGCATTTATCTGGAAAGTAGGCACCTAAATATTGTTGCTAAGATTTAAAAGGAACTGTTTTCACTAAGTAAAAGAGCAAGGCAAATGTCCGCCTTCTGCCCAACGCCTTGAGCTGCATAAACTACAGCATCTTTAGATACAATTAATAAATTACTGTTTGGTTAATGCACTCAAAATGTCCATGCTGAGGTGTTCTTGACTATGTGGCAGTTTTCACGTCCATTTACAATCTCTTTTGATGTGTATACTCTTCATTATTATACCACAAGTAATTACAATTTTGCTGTCCTCCAGCTGTACTGTCTGAGTTTACTAAATATTGGAGCACACATGCTGCAAAATATGAGTTAGATGATCACATTCAGTTATAGCTGCATATTTTATTTTACTTTTAATTTCATTTGAAGAAACCTTTGGTTAATTATTTGTAAGGTCACTGGAAGACAAATGTGATCCCTAGTGCTGATAATTTGTGATTGTAATTGTGGCTATAACTGGTGTGTTGAGGGTGAGGGTCATATCTCTTCTCCTCTGTGGTTGATGTTCCTGTTGGACTAGATGATCAGTGTTGTCCAGGTTGAGTTACAAATTTATGATGCCCGCCCATTTCATTAAAAAAATGTGATGAAGGTTGATGAAGGTGGAATTACCACTTCTTACAGGGAAGAGCAGTAAAATCGTCCTTTCACATGAGCATGTTTGGTACTGAATGATGTGTACATGTTGACGTTCTTCGGTATTGTTCTACCTGCATTTTAAGCTTTTGTTGTGTATGAGATTTTAACGTGTGAGCAGAAGTTCTCTAAATTGCTAATCGTGAATGTGTATTTATTTATAAATATAATTATGTTTGTTTAAATTTATTTGAATAGAGAAGAAATGTTCTCCCGACCTTTGTTATTACTTAATTATTCCTTCTTTCATTCAACACTTTAACTAGGTATTTCTCTTCTTTCTATTGATTCTATTGAGGAGGGGAAATAATTCAGGGGAAGTACCAAAAATTCACAGCCTGTGTTGAGGTAACGGTCGCTGTGCTCCTGCTCAGGCTCTCTCAGGGCTTTTAGGTGCTTTCAGGACCCGATCGCACCCCTCAGCACCACGTAGTGACCTATAGACCCTAGCACCCACCCCATTAACTAAACGCAAACTTTAAACAAGGTACCTGGTGAGTACTTGTACTATGGTACTTTCTGGTTGCCCTGTGTCTCACTGCTTCTATCATTAGAATTCAACTAAGACACAAAAAGCAAAGACAACCAAGAAAGAAACTTTTTAAATATAGGGAACAATATGTCATTTTTTTTATCCAAGTGAAACTGTTTCCATAGTAAAACTGTTTCTGGTAGCCACTAGCCGCCTGGTTCAGTTTTCGGTTCGATAGCAGAGAACTCTGGTGGTAATTTCCGAAACTTTGTGAAGAAGAAAAGTAAACGAAAAACAAAACACTTGTCTATGGGTGGGCCCCTGTCCTAGCACCCAAGCCCAAGCACTAGAGCCAGCTAGGAGGAGGAGGAGGATTGCCCTCACCCCCTGTAACCCTATCAGAAGTGTGGTGTAAATGGTCTCCATGACATATCTTTTTATGTAATATTTTATCTGATATGTGTGTGTTCTCATTTCAAACATAATGTCAATGAAAACAACAGACAAGACATAATTTTTTGGACAGGTTTGGTTATCAAAATATTAAACATGTCCAATAACGAAATTGAAATAGGAGATACCAGTGTTGAACCATCACATTATAATGATTTTGAAGACAAGATATCAGAACTAAGTCAAGATATACCATATGAAGACTTTTTTCAAGGTTATCTTTTAACCAACCGGCCGTGTAAAATTAATAAGTTTGTCACCGAGTTTTGGGAATGTAGAACCAACTGGCTGACAGGGTCCAAACCAAATCTGTTCTATTTTAGGGAATATTGTGGTATGATATCTTGCTTTATTTTTTTAAAAATTGCCAGCTAAGCAGTTTTGTCATAAAATATAAAATAGTGTTTTGTAATATTTTGTAGGAGATGCTGAGGTCCCTGTTGCGGATTGCAGAGAAAGAGAGTACAATTCTCAGAAAAAGAAAATGTACACATTGCATAAATATTTAGATTACCTAGAAGAGTACATTAGTGAAAGTCACCCATCAACAAAACCTAATCTTTATTTAAAGGTGGGTCAATTTATTTTGTAATTTGGGTCATTCTAAACACAGGAAAATCAACTAATACTTGCATCACACAGGATTGGCATCTTACTCGAGACTTTCCTAATTTAGCCGTCTATCGAGTCCCAAAGTATTTTGCATCTGATTGGTTAAATGAATATTTTACCTCCAGATCTGATCTAAATGATGACTACAGGTTTGTCTACATTGGACCAAAGGGATCATGGTAAGAAACCAAATCAGTGATTTAAAAAAATAGTATAATTTTTGATACTGTTTGTCTTTTGTTGTATCACTTTTCTTTTTGTTTTCTCTCTTAATACTAATGATACTTATTTGTTTTAATTCAGGACACCTTTGCATGCTGATGTATTTACCTCATACAGCTGGTCAGTTAATGTTGTTGGACGGAAACGCTGGTTACTATTTCCACCTGGAGAAGAAATGCACTTAAGAGATCGATTTGGAAATCTTGCATATGATGCCACTGCAGAGGATATTTTTGATAAAACTAATTACCCATCTTGTGATAGACCAGGCAAATGCTATGATGTAATTCAAGAGGCCGGGGAGGCTATTTTTGTTCCTTCTGGATGGCATCATCAAGTGTGGAATCTTGTGAGTGAATGAAAGTTTATTGATTCCAATCTTCTTGTTATACATAGTTGTAATATGTACCGTGTCCCTAATAAAATATACAATTCCAGGAAGATACAATATCAGTTAACCATAACTGGGTAAATGGATGCAATATTATGCAAATTTGGCAGGCTCTCAGTTCATCCTTGTTAGCAGTGCAAAAAGAAGTCAGTGACTGCACGGATATGGATGATTGGCACTCCCACTGTCAGCTAATGTTGAGAGCAACACATGGTATGTGTACTTAAATGTGTTTTTCTAAATACTAAAACCATTGGTTTATTTCAATTTTCTTTATCTATTTTTATTTTGTTCTAACGTAGGTCTGAGTTATGAAGAGTTTTATGACTTATTGCAGTGCATTGCACAGCCAAGGATAATGTACATCAAGGGTGATTGTCCGGTAAAAATGTATGGCAATTGGATACTTGGTCATAATCATGCCGTATGGGATCTAAAGCAGATATCAAAAACGCTGAAACACTTCTTAGTGGATAAAAATCTAACTTATTTACCTTGGGTTGGTACAAAAAATCCGTTTGGTCTATTAGAAAATATTGACAATCTTTTAAAAACAACAGGAGTACTTCCAGGACCATGAGGCCAATTTTTAATAATCATCAACATGTAGTAACAAGAGTCACTGGGTCTTTCACAGCATTAAAAAAAAAAAAAAAACGAATCTTGAGGTGTTTTCAGTCTTATTTCACAGCCATTATTTATATTGGAAAGCTTCCAATCCCCACATTAAAAGAAAAAGAGGATTAAAAATGTATGTCACAAATCGAAGTTTTAAAATAAAAATTAGAAAAGGTGTCTAATTATTTTCCTTAACATGCAACGAAATGGTCGATTAGTCGGACATGCCCAAAGTAGTAATACAGTCCGTATTACTACTGCCCAACCCTCCTGGCTCTACAGCTTTGCTTGAAGGTCGCCGATCTCGTCTACCCCAGCGACTCCTTCGTCGAGCAGCCGCTGCACCTGTGCGTCTGAGTAGCCCAGCTCGCGCAGGACGCGGCGCGTGTCCTTGCCGGGAACGTAGCCGTCCGCGGGGGAGCCCGCGGCGCGCGAGACGCCCGGGGTGCGGCTGAGCTTGGGGGCGGGCTGCGGCACCGTGGGGCCGCCGTGGCCTTCCCCGGGGCGCAGGAACGCGCCTCGAGCCACGTTGTGCGGGTGGCGCGCCGCCTCCTCCAGGGTCAACACGGGCGTGACACACGCGTCGGAGCCGTCAAACACGGAGCACCTGCAGGTGCCAAGGAAGACATCAGCGCTCACAAGAACAAAAGAGAGGTGATCTCCCAAAGCGCGGTGCAACGTACCACTCTGCCTGCGTGCGCTCCCTGAAGCGCTCGGCGAGCACTTGCCGGGCTGCGGGCCAGTCGCCGTGCTGGGGGACGGCCTCCTCCTCGAGGCCCATCTTGTCTAGGAGCTCGGCGTAGAACTGGGGCTCGATGGCGCCCACGGCCATGTGCCTGCCGTCGCGGGTCTCGTATGTGTCGTAGAAGTGCGCGCCGGAGTCGAGCCAGTTGCGGCCGCGCTCGGCGTCCCACAGGGGCAGCACGCCCCGCGAGCGGCCCACCCAGCTGGCCAGGTACGCCACGCCCTCCGTCATGGCGGCGTCCACCACTTGGCCGCGGCCGGATGAGGCGCGCTCCACCAGCGCCAGCAGGACGCCCATGGCGCAGGCCAGGCCGCCGCCCGCGAAGTCCGCCAACAAGTTGAGGGGTGGTGTGGGTGGCTGGTCGGCGCGGCCCAGCAACGACAGCACGCCTGCCGAGGAATCATCGCGCAGAGTGAGGAGAGACGTTGGACGCAACCTCGGCAGCCAGCGAGGCCAGCCTAAGGGATCTTCCAGAAAGCGCGCCCGTTTCTCTCCCCTCTCTCTCTCTCTCTCTCCATGTACGGGAGCTCGGCGCCTGCGAGACTCGGGGTAGGCCACCCCGCCGGACACGCATGCATCGCAGGCAAAATGTTGCCTACCCATCAGGCGCCATGAGAGATTGCAACGGCTTAGCTTGGTGAATGACAAGCAACGGCGAATGACGGACGCACTTTCTGAATGATACCTACCGGCGAAGCCTCCCTCCCTCTCCTCTGGTGGCGCTTGCGCTTGGGGGGAGGGGGGGGGCATTAACTACATGGATGCCGGGAGGGGAAGAGTG